GTAACATTAGACGATGCACTTCCTCGACGGACACCGTCACCACCGAGTACAGACACAAGTAATATGGTTGAAAGAGTATATAGTTTTCCGAGTCGAAGTACCGTGCAAAAAATTGCAACAGAAATCCGAAAAGAGCCTGTGAAGAAAGTCTTTAACAACAAGACAAAAAAGATAACAAAATCACATAAAGATAAATCATTAAAATCAAAGAGAAAAGAAGTTAATGCAAGTGTCATTGGCGAAAAGAAAAACGTGAAATTAGATGATAAATTGAACTCAGTATTGACAAAAGGGCAACACTCATTAATTAGAAATGACGAGAGGAAGAATAAACCATCCGTTCGACGATTAATTAGCTCACTTGAAAAAGAAAACAATCGATTACCTTTGACTCCTGATCAATCACCGTCCATTGAAGCGACAATCAAAGAAGAAATAAACAAAATCATAAGTCATACAAAAATGGCTAATCGTCAACAATTAGCCGATTTTAAAAAACCGAAAAAACAACAATACAAACTCGGATCGCATAAAACCAACAACGGTTCAGAAATAAAAAGTACTGTAATAATAAAACCAAAAAAAAGTAGTATGCAATCAATCAGTCCTCAAATTAATACACCACAAATTATCGATGTTAAATCGAAAGAGAATCGGGACAGCGTGAAATCACAAAAAGTACTTCCAGTACAAATTGAAATACATCGAGAAACCCATGCTAGTGTTGGCTTAACGCCAGCAACTAGCTCTAGTCTTCCTGCTGGAATTCCACTTCCACTGAGACAATCATCACCAACAACTGGACTTAAAATACCTATGTTAAATTATAAGAAGAATCTATTATTAAGGAAGAAATTTATGAAAAAAGTTCTTGAATTCAACAAAATGGTCTAAATAAAAGTGTCTGTTATTCAACAGTAGAACATTTTGATCAGATGTTGATATCAAAGATTGATCAACAACCGTCTTTTTAAACAACAAATATCTTGTTTAAAAAAAGTAATGAAACAAAACTTGTAATATGATGAACCAGCTATATGGCTCCATCGTGACTTCGAAGTAGTGTAAGATATATCTCTTTTGATCTTTTGTTATGAATAGTATATAGTAGCATGGTTGCAAAAATGTTGAGTTTGTCATGGTATAATAATTTCTGAGTTTCAACAATAAAATACTCTACACAATATAAGTAATTCTTTTCTTGTTATACACGCATTCATCTTATTTTGAATGGTATAGATATACACCTATGTATGTTATTTTTATACATAATATCATCTGAGGAAAAAATAGGGACAAAACAAAAACGTACAGTGCAGAAAGAAATTTGTATCATAAATATCCAGATTAAAAAAAAGCAAAAAAAACAAAAACAAAACCAAACATATATTGACACTGAAAGGCGCATTAAACACACATAAAAAGCGAGAAGAGGAAGACATGAATAGATGCTTAGAATTTTTTTGTTTATCTAAATGGGCTATTGTTTTGTTGAGTTTGAGTAAGAATAAACAGAGTACCGGTATAAGGATGTGGTTATTTATTTTGTAAAAAACTAAGATTGTTATTTTATTTGTTGTGCTTATGGACGGATAAACAATACAGTAAAGTAGATTTCTCAAACATCTGTTTCAACATTCATATTATTTATACTAACACTGTTCATTTTTCTTTGAGATAATGGACTATTTGCTACCACGCTACCTACTCCTACTGGACAAATGGCAATCTTATGGTTACCACTGCGAAAATTCGATGATTCTTCATGTAGAAATGCATCAGATTCATCTAAATGTTGATAACTTTCAGCCGATGACAAATCGGATTTTTTAACTGAACTACCGATGCTAACATGTGCTGTACCACATGGACCGTCACCATTACTTGCAGTCACTTTTTCTGCTCCGTTAGTTTCAGCATTCGCATATTTAATATCCTTCTGTTCTTCCGAATCAATATCACGATGGTAGAAATAGTTAAAATTGGAAACGATGACAGGTACAGGGAGAGCGATGGTCAGAACGCCGGCAATAGCACACATAGAACCGACAATTTTACCCCATATACCAACAGGTCTCATGTCGCCATAGCCAACCTGAAAAGACAAACAATAAAATAAGATATAAGTAAGATACCGAGTGGATATTGTCGGACTATATATTGTCATTAACTCACCGTAGTCTAAAATAGAAGAAAAGAAACATTGTTAGTTTTGTAACATTAAGAAATATTCTAGACGGAATCATTTGATGTATTAACTAGATATCAGTGCCCATGCTCTTTTTGTATCCATACACTTCAAGGTTTTGCCTATGTCATAGTTAATAGACATAATCGCACATATTTTGTCTAAACTTCAGCTTAAAAATCTCTACATTGAGAGTGTTATTATATCTATTCTAGCATCAATATTTATCAAGATGTATAATATTATTATTTAGCTTACATTATATACTAAAAGGTCATGTTATCATTATAGTTAATGTGCTAATTGAACTAGATAAAAAAACTAATATTTTTGCAATCATTTACAATAAATCCCTCTTATACTTCCGTTATTAATTTCTCTGATCACAGTTATTTTTAGGACGGATACTGATATTTCAAGCGGTTAAATTTTTGAAGCAGAAAGATAATCGAACAAGAAAAGATAAAGTTTAAAGCAATTTTAAGACAAGAGAAGTAGAAAAAGATTGGCCATATAATTAGTTTTTGATTTGAATAAAGAAAATGTTTCAGTCTGAGTTATAAACTGTAAGCCGGATTTCTACAGGCGTGAACTCATCATCGAATCAAGGCTAATTAACTCTAATATGTTTCGATGATCTAAGAAAAGAAACTGGAGTAAAGAGAGATCGATCTAATAGTTCAGAAACAAACTGACGGTAATTTTGAATTGATTTCATCTTCAAAAAGACATAAAAATGCACTTACCATCGTTATCATTGCCCACCAAAAGGCATCTGGTATAGATTTAAAAAAGGATTCTGGTTCACCTTGTTCGGCAAAATAGACGGCCGACGAAAATAATATAACACCGATAAATAGAAAAAATATTAGTAAGCCCAGTTCTTGCATAGATGCACGTAACGTTTGTCCAAGAATTTGTAAACCTTTTGAATGACGAGATAATTTAAATATACGAAATACGCGAACGAGTCGAATTACTCTTAGAATAGCGAGTGACATAGCTTGATTTGATTTTGTTTTTTCTTCAGCTAATATTGTAAATAGAGTAATAAAATACGGTACAATGGCTACAATATCAATTACATTCATTATTGATTTTAAAAAAACTAATTTTAATGGACAAGAACAAAAACGTACGATTAATTCAAATGAAAACCAAACAATACAACATGTTTCTATAATAAAAAACGGTTCGGTTAATTCTGGAATATCGTCTTCTTCAATCATTAAACGGGTATTATCGTACGATGAATTATCAGCAGCACGTACGCGATAACGTTTAAATTTTGGTAAAGTTTCTAAAGTAAAATAAATGTTATTAAAATAAATACTCAATTCCAAGATAAAATACAATTTTAGAGGAAAATAAATCTATCAACGAAAGTGTACAATACTGTACAAAGATTTTGAATTCTATTTTATCATTAGATATCAAAACAAATTTAGTGAGTCTAGAATTAACAAGAGTTTCAGAATTTTAACTCATAGCGACTTATATTCAATGAAAATAGGCTCTATTGAGAATCCTGTTGTACCATACCAGAGTACTCTTACTCTACTTAAAAATCAATACATACCTAAACAAAATATAACAATTGACATTAAAATGACTATCACAGAAATAATTGCAATAACACGAGCCCATTGACTTGTTTCCGGATATTCAAATAATAGCCAAATTTTTCGTTGAATTTCTGGCCTTGGTAAAATTCTTTCTTCTTCTTTAATAAATCCCTCATCTTCTCGAAATTTATTAAATGCATCTTCGCCTAATTCAAAAAATTTGATTTCTTCAGTAAATACATCTAAATTAAAATAAATCATAAAAATTATTAACAACTAATCACTCCATTAATATCTTACCTATTGGAACATGATTTGGCCTTCTTAGACGGCCATTTGATTGATAATAATAGAGAATACCATCAAAACTTGGACGATTACGATCGAAAAAATATTCATTCCTTAACGGATCAAAATATTTTACTCTTCGCTGTGGATTACCCAATAAGGTTCTAGGAAAATTGTTTAATGTTTGTAATTGTGTTTCAAATTTTAAACCGGACACATTGATAACAACACGTTCAGATGATTCAAAATCGGGATGTTTGGCTGCATTTACAGCTTCTTCGGGTGTTAAGGTTTCCTCTTCGAGTTGGCGAGAAAATGCCCTAAAGTATAGGAGTAAATAAAACTCTAAGTTATACTTTTGAAAGAAGAAGAGTAGAAATCTGCTGAAAAATTCTCCTTCCAAGTATCACAGATAATCGATTGATGCCCATCTTCTTTATCTTTTAATTTGTATTATAGGAAACTACGTCTTAAAAAAAGAATGTTCTCTTCTTGTTATTGCTAGAACTATTCTAATCTGCATATGTTTTGACTATTTCTTCGATTTCAATACAAAAATCAACAAGATTTTTTTGTTCAATTCTAATAGTAGAACGAAGAACGATGGTTCTAGAATAACGAACCAAACATTCCCACTCTTATGATATTTGCGTATTTCATCGTACATCTTGTGTAGAAAGATGTTTATTTTGTTTAAAGGCATATGATGATAAACTTTTATTCTAATCTATAGCTCTCAATCATTCAGCCTATTTATCTAACTCGTTCGAAAATCTATTAAAATGAGAAAATATTCCTATACCTACACTCTTATTGTTTATATAGAACATACATAGAACTAACCAAATATTGGATATGTTTTTTTCTTTGACAAAGAGTAAACAGAAAACGTTTCTAAGTAAAAACTACTTGACGCTCTTCGAATAGTGTACATCATACAGATGTTGAAGACGACAACAACAACAACGATTATTTTGCTTTCTTAAAGAAGAAACATACATATTTTACATATTTAATCAAAATCATTCTATTCATTAGAGAAGGAAGAGGGATAAAGAAGTAGAAAAAAAGAAAATCTTTCAGAATTCCCTCATTGTATCTACAGGTACAACTGTATAATGGATATCTGTCTGATTTTACTTACATAGACGTATGAAACCAAGTTTTAAGCTTAGAACACCTGCAGCATAACTGATGCAACAGAGTGTACTTCCAACCCAATAACATTCAATTCTCGATTCAACATATACGCAAAATAACTATAGAAAATTATAAAAAGCTTATTATCCAATTAAATATATAATTTGTCCATAATAACTCTTTCAATTGAAACTATATTATTCTTCTTTCTCTATAAATATCTCAGTATAAAAGGGACACCTATTGAAGATTTCTCTGTATGAAGTACATAATGTAGTCAATGAATAAGTAAAAATTAATAAACGGCGTTCGTTTATACATCTCAATTAATATTTCATTATGCAAATCTAACATTTTAGACAAGTATTATGGAGGCATATGATTATTATTAACATCANTTAATAAACGGCGTTCGTTTATACATCTCAATTAATATTTCATTATGCAAATCTAACATTTTAGACAAGTATTATGGAGGCATATGATTATTATTAACATCAACAGACGGGAGGACCAGAGAGCACGGGAAAAAGAAATCAATGTATTGTTTTTTTTTATAGGATCATTTGGAATTAGACGAAGTAGAAATAATACACAAACATACACCAACAGATCAACAATATTATATCAAGACGACACGACGTTCTGTTGATGATAAATAATAAAAACAAGACATGAAGGAGAGAAAAAATAATACACAGAAGCACGAAATA